CATGGTTGGTCTCCTTGAAACTGATAATGGCCCCTGCTATATCAGCAATAAGTTTTGTGATTTTGCTGCTTCCCACCATATACAACTAATTACAGGCGTTCCTTATAATCCTCAAGGACAAGGTATCATGGAACGTGCCAACCGTACTATTAAGGATTATCTTACTAAAACAAAAAAGGGGGGAGTATAGCACTCCCCGAGATCATTTGAGCCTTTTATTATTTATCTTAAATCTACTAACATTGGATGCTGAAGGACGGTCTGCTGCAGATCGTCATTGGAATTCGTGTCGGTAGCAGAAGGGTTACATGATGTGGAAGGATCCCCTGACTGGTCAGTGGCAAGGCCAAGATCCCATCCTCATATGGGGGCGAGGATCAGTTTGTTTTCCCAGAAAACGAAAATGGTCCCAGGTGGATTCCTGAGAGGCTTGTCCGGCAAGCTCCTGCTGCGGAGTCTTGTGAAAGCTCGGGTACATGGTGATGGCATTTGAGTCAGAAGATCGACGGGACAAGCAAGTATATTAGGCCTTTATATATATTATAAGTATATTAGAATTTTGTTAAGTACCCCCCCTTTTTTCCTTCCTCCTATGAGCACCGAGGTCCTGATATTTCCTGCCTTTTCTATGTGGCAGCTTTGTGGGGAATGGACATGCACTGGCATGTGCCCCCATTTTTCCTTATTAAGGGAGGCAATTATTCCCATGGAAATTATTAGTTCAATCACTCCTGGATTTGAGGACTCACTCATGTGGATGAACCTCAGTTCCTTCAATTTTAAGCCCGTGTCTGCCTGTGTTATCTCCCTGTTTTTCTCTTACATACAGAAAATGTCTCTGAAGTGAATTGCACCGAGGTCAGCTGCACCCTAACAGCATGTTGGAATGGCAATGGTGATGCTGCTGTTGTCATGCAGCTGCCTGGAATCCTGCCTGTGCCTGCCGGGGCTAACCGAGAGGCCTCTGTTGGCCTGATAAGGTGTAAAAGAGACTTGGGCATAACATTGACCATCATAGCCAGCATTGCCCTGACGTTGGCAGCTACCACCACATCAGCAGTGACCCTAGGACACCCTACAGCAATTGCGGAGCCTGTGAACAAACTCACAGAACTCACTGCCTGAGTTGTGGAACAGAACTCTATTGATGAACATGTGCAGGTGGGCATGCTTACACTGTAACAGCAGGTTGGTTTGTTGGCAGAGGAGCAGCAGATGCTGTGGGATGTTGCCTAGGCCTCTTGTTCCCCATTGTATGTCTTCATGTGTGTTACACCTGTGTAGTGCTATGTTTTCCCAAGCCCGGGAACTGCTGTCTGCTTATTGCTACCGAGCTAAAGATATTCCTAGCCATGGAACAGGGTTACCAGCCTCCCCAAGTATGGTTTGTACAGCTGCAACAGGCAGCGCGTTGAATGGCAGCCAGTGACGGGTAAGATGGACCGGGCACTGACCAACCTAAGACAGGGGCTCCGTCATGCTACGGAGATTCCCGATGACGGGTAAGGCTGATAACCTGAGAGTCTACAACCTAAGACAGGTGATTCAAGTCTGCTTTAAAACAAAAAAAGGGGACCTGTTGTGGGCTAAGGAGTTGATTAGCGCTCACTGGTCTGGACAGGAACTGGGCTTGTGGCTAAAAAGAGCTAGACTAACTGGATTCAACTGTATCCAACATCCTGGCTAAATTAGGATGTGTGTGTGAGGGGAGAGTATATAAAGAGAGGTGAAGGAGCAATAGAGCGAGACTTCGCAGAGACTTCCACCATCACTGGTCTCTGATCAGTGCTTCATCCCCAGACCCTCTCCCTGTCCACGTTACTGGCTCTGCTGGCTGGAGCACCCTGGTTTCTGTCCAAAAGTCACCTGTTCAGGCAGACCTTCACTAACCACACTATCATAGCTCACCTCCTGGCACTCTGTGGTACTCTTTCCCAGTTACAAGAAACTAAAGGACTTCCAGCTAATGAAGGAAAAGTTTGATGTTTTTTTTAAATTGTTTTCCATGATACCGTTTTGTATGTATAGGGATTCCTCCTACCCCCTCCTCTTCTCCTTCCCATCTCGCCTCCCCCACATTTGTCCCTTTGTTATCACAATGGAGCAGTCCCTTAGTACAAGTTACAAGCTTAGCTTTCTGACATTTAAATGTATTATGACATGCAACTATATACAAAGGTGACAAAGTAATGTACTGTGAAGGTATAGGTTTCATTGGGAGTACAAGTTTTCATTGGGGGTATAAGCTTTATTTGGGAGCAGATGTGAATTATGCATAATACCTTTACTTCCTGCTATAGCAGTCTTCCATATACAGTTCATATATATCTGTGTGTGTATAGATAGGCAGTTGCAAATACATATATACATGTATATATATATATATATATACCTGTTTACACACACATTTTTTTCTCTGCATTTTGGCTGTCTTACATCAGAGAACAGAGTATCTGTCCTCGAGGGACTGGCATACTCCACTAAGCATAATGGTTTCCAGTTGGAAGCATTTTGTTGCAAGACTTAAGATTTCACTCATTTATGGCTGAGTGGTATTTATCCATTCATCTGTTGATAGGCACCTGGGCTGTTTCCATTTTACTGCTACTGTGCCTTATGCTGGTAAACGCATAGGGTTGCAGGTGGCTCTCTTGAATGCAGATTTCACTTCGACACATTCCCAGGAACGGGATGGCATTCTCAATGTCTGAGCATAGTGCCTGTACTAGTTACAAGGGCCACCTACAGTGCTTAGGGTACCTTTCCCCGCAGCCTTGTCAGCAATCATTCTCTGATTTCTGTGTCATAGACATTTTAAGCAGAGTGAGGTGAAACCTCATTGTGCTTTTTATCCGTATTTCCCTAACAGCTAGGGAACCTGAGCACTTTTTCATGTGTCTACCAGCATTTTGAATTCCATCTTTTGAAAAAGGTAAATTTTTACCTCCAGACTATTTGACTCTAAAGGCCAAGTTCTTTCCACCCACGGTGCTTTTGGCTTAGAGTTGCCCGCAGACAGAGGGACCCTGACAGTCAAACTGCAAACTCCTGCAGTCACACCAATATGTTAAAATGTTTTTTCTCAATAGCAATTTAAGACGAGTGCTTTATACAATAAAAATTTAAGCAAAACCTAGAAAATAATTGTAAAAAAAATGAAGGGCAGTTGAGTTTTTGAGAATGTGTGAAACTGTGCTGTATGTACAGTCCTCTTCAACATTCTCATAAAAATGAATAAGCTTCCCTCACATTGTATGTTTACATAGATAGAAGTTAGTACTTTATTTTTTTAAAAGATGTGCTTATTGTTATTTAAAGGGCAGATATATAGAGAAGGAAAGACAGAAAAATAAACTTTCTATCCACTGGCTGAATCCCCACATGGCCACAACAGCCTGAGCTGGGCTGTTCCCAGTCCAGGAGCCAGAAGCTTCTTGTGGGTCTTCCACGTGGCTGCAGGGACCCATCTTTCAATGCTTTCACTGGAATATTAACAGGGGGCTCAATTAGAAACAGAGCAGTCAGAACTCAAATGGGAGTCCATGTGCAATGTAGACACCACAGGCAGAGGCTTAACCTACTTTGTCATGGCACTGGCTCCAGTTACCAACGTAAGCATGCCCACAGCTCAGGGATGACAGCCTGTAAGATGGCTAACACATGAAAGACCCTCTTCAAAGTGAACTCTGAGAAGGCTGCAGCACTGTGACTGAGTAGTTATTGTCTGTGACAGTGGCATCCCGTCTGGGATATCCCAGCTACCACACATACAAGTAAACGCCCTCTTAATGGGCTGGGAAAAACAGCAGAAAGATGGCCCAAAGAGCTTGGCAGAGTCAGAACGGCAGCTCCTGAAAACTAGGCAATAACTTCTGTTGCTTAGAAGTCACTCGGTCTATGACACTCTGTTACAGCAGTCTGAATGTACCAAGACACACTACTTTGGGGTTTAAATAATAGTTTTTAGATGTGCAACCTGAAAATGCCGAAAAAGCATTAGGAAATTATATCTTCCAAGTTGCCAGTAATATTAACATGTAGCAACTTTCCTGAAAGAAGCACAGTTCCATCAAAAGAGTTGGGAATGAGCAAATTTTGGACACCAGAGATCTTAAACAAAACCAATGTGCAGTTGTTCCCAATAAAACTTGTGCTCTGGGCCTGATGCAACAGCCTAATGGTTAATGCCCTCGCCTTGCATGCATTGGGATCCCATGTGGGCATTGGTTTGTGTCTCAGCTGCTCCACTTCCCATGCAGCTCCCCCGCCTGTGGCCTGGGAAAGCAGTAGAGGATGGCCCAAAGCCTTGGGACCCGGCACACGCGTGGGAGGCCTGGAAGAGGCTCCTGGCTTAGAAACAGCTTAGCTCCATCTGTTGTGGCCACTTAGGGAGTGAAAGAGCGGATGCAAGATCTTTGTCTCTCTTTCCTTCTCTCTGCAGATCTGCCTTTGCAATAAAAATAAATCTTTAATTTTAAAAAACTTTTGATTCCAATAATCCACACAAATGCTTCTGTTTGTAAATTAGATCATAAGTTGTTCTTCAATATAAATAAAGATCGTACACGGAGTGGATGCCATAAACAAGTTATGAGTTTGTTTAATCAGTATGAAACTGACTCTGAAGAAATGTACAAAATCAAACACTCATCCCCTCTCAGTCTATCCTAGCAACAGCATCCCCACAGGAAAGCGGTCACCTTGGAGACTGTCTGCCGATTCCAAGGAGACGGCCATTTGCAAAAGTGCATGTTCTTCAGCATTTGTCTCCCGGGCAGTTATGAAACCAGAAACGAAAAAAGCTGTTTCATTACCTCGTATCAGAATGTTTTGTAGAGATTTAAAAGGGAAGGTGTTAGAGATGAAGATGAAACAGGGGCACACTTTGGTAACACAGAAAACATCTTCTCTTTGGAAATACTTGATCCCAATGATAGTAACAATGAACCCCTAAGCAATAAGCGAGGATGGCCCACTTTCCCAAAGCCGGCAGGACTTACAGGTGCATATCCGAGGAGAGAGATGTTTTCGTCTATGTAAATCATCAGGCCGTCGGTGCTCAGTATAATCATGAAGCCATCCAACGACTACCGGAGAAAGGACAGAATGAAACAGGGAGATGAGAGTTTTACTCATGACTCCATATAGAATCATAATAGGACACTGAAAACATACTGCAGTCCTTCAAGCCTGGATGTTTATCACATAATGTCACATGTCACTTTGACAAGTTTCAATGTACACCCAATTAGCACAAGCACAAGCTAAGAGGCTCCTTTCTGTGTGTAGTTATCTCCCTTGAAATACACTTAACTTCAAAGATGCTAGAAATATGTTAAGAGTACTTTCATATCTGCTTAGTTTGGTCATTTAGTTATAAATATGAATATTGTCATCACTGGCTATATACCAGAATGAAATATCTAAAATGATGAATAAAAATAAATTATATAAACCTTCTTTTTAAAAACAGAACCAAGCTTACTTGGTACAATAAGGGGAATGTAATAGGAGTGGAGAAACCTTTCGCTGTAAGACAAACTTCAACACACACCAGCAACACCTACAGTAGGAGATGCTGCAGGACAACTTCGGTGCAAGCCACACTTCAGCAGGTCTCAGGGAACTCACTGGGGCTGACAGAATGGAAAGTGAAGCGAGGACAGAACCCAGGCACAGCAGCTTGGGGTGTGGGAGCCACAAGCAGTGTTTTCACTACCATGCTAAACCCCTGCCGCGATCGGAGCTTCTTCAAACTCAGCTGACAGCTCGAGCCTGAGAGAAGGGCAGCCGTCTAGTGCCAGGACAGGAGACTCAGCTGCACGTGGTGCAATTCAAGCTCAGGAAAGTACATTCAGCAGCAAGCTCTTTGACCAACTCTGATCAACGTGGTCTCCTAGGCACCTTGTGAAGAACACTACTCTTCAGCTTCAACTCCACTTTTTCTACACATGAGATAAAGAACAAAAGCCCTCTTACTGTTAGCGACAGTTGGTTGAAGTCATCATAGTCACGGAATCTCGGCATCCAACTTGGTTTTGCATGTTCTGGATTGCATTTGTTCATAATTTTAGAAAAAGTAAGACAAGACAAAGTCACCTTAAAGCGATTAGACATAAATACCAGATTTCTACAAGTTAAAATTAATCCTATAGGAAAGATTCTCTGGAGAAAATAGTGTGCTGATGAAGGGTCGGATAGAAGCGAAATCACCACGATCACAGAAATGTTTGCAAGTTGAAGATTTTGAAGTTCATCCAACTCAATTTCTACTCCAACGGCTTCACAATTTTCAACATTCAGTGCTTTCTGACTCTTTCGTCAATCTAGTGACAACAATAATGGTAAAGAAGGTCACAGGTTCTAAATAGAACCTTCTCCAAAAATTTTCCAATTCCTGCTCAAAGTATAGAATGTCATTCTTAAATTTAATTTTTTATTTATTGGAAAGTGAGCTATACAGAAAGGAGGAAAGACAGAGAGGAAGATCTTCCATCTGCTGATTTACTCCCCAAGCAGCAGCAACAACCAGAGCTGAGCTGATCCGAAGCCAGAAGCCAGGAGCCTCCTCCAGGTCTCCCACACAGATGCAGGGTCCCGAGGCCTTGGGCCATCTTTGACCGCTTTCCCAGGCCACAAGCAGGGAACAGGATGGGAAGCAGGGATGCCAAGATTAGAACCACTGACCATTTGGTATCCCAGTGCATGCAAGGGGAGGACTTTAGCCGCTAGGCTACCGTGCTGGGCCCATCTAATTAAGTTTTAAGCAAAGGTCCTTAACTGAGATGATCTCATATCTTGTCATAGCTGCTGACCTGTTCTATCTGCTATCCATCCCGGTCCATTCTGCAAGGTTTTCTGGTTTCCCCAAAGGGCAGTGGTTCTGCTGTTCTGCTTTACTCAGAGCCTTTCCCAGCAGCATCTGCTCCCTCCACCTCCTCCAACCTCACCTACTCCACTAGCAACAGGGAACTCGCCAAGAAAAGCCTCCAATCTCATGTGATATTAATGGCTGATGTCAGTAATCAGTTTGGCCCTAATTGGGCACAATCCCGACAGCAGCTGTTATTTTGTTAGTGAGCATGAGCCTCAGACCCTGCCCCAGGAATACATTAGTCCGAGAAAAGTCACACATCAATAGAAGAGCTTCACAGTCCTCCCAAAAAGGGAGAAAGACATAGTGGTGTGCAGCTAGGGAGGAAGTAGGAATCACATGGCAGTTAAGCCACACTAATTACACAACTGCCTCAAGAGCTTGTTCCAGACCAGCCTCCCAGTAAAGAAATTGAATTCTGGGTATAGCTCAATAATTCTGGGCGCAGCTCCTTCAACTCAAGAAACATCCACAACATTCTTCCACAATTAATTTCCAAGGTTACTTCCTCATTGCCTGCAAGTTCCTCCTATGATTTCTATCACCTACACTTCTCAAAGAAGAAAAAAAAACTACAAAAGATACATAGAAGAACCAACAGGTTTCTAAGAAAAGAAAGCCAAAACATTTTGCCAACAAATCACAAAGGACCTGTCTACCTGATGTTACCCATGAGCTTGATTTTGTACACCACAGCAAACTCTTAAATCCCCAATCTCTACCGTATGCTTAAGTCACAGTAGTAACTATTTCATTCTTATTAAACTTTATTTTTCATTTATTTAACAAACACTTATATAACTGTAAAGTGTCAGACTACTTCAGAGGCTCCAGACGCAGTATGAGCTGCGTCTCTGCCGTGCTTCATGTTCGCTGAAACTGACTTTAAGGTTTCATGCTCAATTTGATAGGCTCAGGAGGCGATAGGGCCCTTAACAGGCATGTAGGGTCATGAGGGACCTGCCTTCTGAATAAACCAATGTTTTTCTAAGGAATAGATAAGCAGTGTAGAAATTTGTCTCCCTTTTCTCTGCACAATCCACCGAGTCCTCTTCGGCCCAGGCTGGAGTAGCACAAGGCCCTCAACAGAAGCCAGGCAGAGGCCAGCACCATGCTCTTGGACATCCAAGAACTGTGAGCTGAAACGAACTTCTTTTCCTTATAAATTACTAAATATCAGGTGTTCTCTTGCAACAAAAGAAAACAGACTAAAACATGGTCCCTTTGTATCTTACAAACTGATGGGACAAGACGTCCAGCTAGGGAACACGCGGACAGTCTAACAGATTGCTCCACATCCCTGCATGTAGAATGCCTGAGACAAGATGATCAAAGAAAGTCTTCCTGAGAAGCACACATCTGAGGCAGAATCTCAGTAACAGTAAGGTGGAGACACAGGAGGAAAGCGCCCCAGGCAGACCGCAGTGGCTACAAGGTACAACAGGAAGGAACTTTGTTTCAACAAAGAGGTGCCTAAGATACCAAAATCTGCATTATTACTCCTCATATGTGCTTCTATTTTCATTCTTTGTTCCACTTTTGCATGAACCTCAGTAGCATTTTAAGCCCCAATCATAAGCAAGCTCCTCTAATCCTTAATCCCTCCTGAAGAGTGTTTTTGAGGCAAAGTGAGGGATTCCACTGTCCTACGCACAGCTAATTTGCAACATGCTTAGCAAACAATTCTAAAAACAGATGAGGTTGCATGAATCACACCTTTATTCTGTGACATGGCAGTAGTATCACTCTTCATTTTGTACCCTCTAGACTTGTCACCTTTTACAGGATAGCCGTGATTCTTCAGCATTGCACGTAGTTCACTAAACAAGGAACCAAACCCCTCTTTCTTTCTGGATTTACCAGGCGCATCACTGGGTGAACAAAAAGGTAGAATTACTAATGGTAAATGGTAAAGATGGGATTAGGAATTCAAACAGCAGAGCAATAAAATGGGGAGATAAGAAGAGAGAAACATTAGTATCAATATTTGAGAAAAATCCAGTTCTTTGATTACCCACAGCACAATAACTATCTTTATTAAAATAAGGAAACGAACATCAACTTCACCATTAGACCACAAGGCTTTAAAGAGTAGAGACTATCTGTCACCACATGTTCTAGAGCAAAGGCCAGCAGAAGACCTGGCCCAGTGACCTAGGAATTGAATAAACAGATTAAATCTGATTAATTTGACTTTACTAGTGAGTCTTTGTTCCATTGTATCTTTAAATACAAACACAGTCTTGCTTTTATTTAAAGAAAACTCATTTTAAGTGGTCTATAATTATTAACAGTCTCTTGAAGCCAATACTGCATCTTCGAGAGAAACAGCATAATGAAATGCTAATTGAGCTTCTTAAAGATTTATTTTTATTTGGAAGGCGAAGTTACAGAGAGAAAGAGAGATCTTCTGTCTCCTGGTTCATGCTGCAAATGGTGGAGCTGGCCTGATCCAAAGCCAGGAGCCTGGAACTTCTTCCACGTTCCCATATGGATGCAGGGTCCCAAGAACGCGGGCCATTCTCTGCTGCTTCCCCAGGCCACAAACAAGGAGGTGCAGTAGAGATGGAACAGCCAGGACTTGAAATGCCACCCATATGGGATGCTGGCACCACAGGCAAAGGATTAACCGGTTAAACTATGGCACCAGCTCCTGCTAATTGAGTTTTTTTAACTTCTGAAAACCACAGAACATGGTAAATGTTTTGGATGCTTGATTCTGGAAAAGAGGTTGACTTGTGTTTTGAAATGTGAATGAAGTTGACTGTTTATTTAGTGTCAGCCCTGGGCATGGAAGACAGAGCTTGATGAAGGGGAATGTCAGGTACATGACTCATGTGTTTAGTAATACAACAGAACTGAGCCTGGGGTTAGGAAAAACTCACTGGGGAAATCAAATTTTCCTGCGTGAGTGAGGCGTGCCTAAGGTAATAGGATTTTTCAAGATGCGAAATAAGAGAAAAAGACCAGAGAGAAGCCTTCGACAAAAACATCAGCCAGTTATGAATTCATACCTGTTATCTCCTTCTCTCTCTTCCTCATTCATTATTCAGCAAATAACATAGAACTCTGAAACAAAAGAGCAACATTTTATTAAATCAGCATATGGTGAATCATGGTAAAGCAGGAAGATTAATCAGAATTCTCACTTGCATAACACATTTCCCTCAAGGAATAAGTACCTTTAAAGGCAGGATTTGATTAAGTTCCAATATATTATGTAGATGTGGAAGACTTTGCATTGTGGTGTGATCACCAATGAATATTTTTGACAATAATATTGTAAATATTATTGAAAAGGTTATTATTGTAAATAATAAAGGTTATATTATTATAATAAAGGTTATTATTGTAAATATTATTGAAAAGGTTATTATTGTGACACTTGAAAAGGTCACAAAAATACTATGTTAAGTTTCGCAACTAAAGCCAAAAGTCAAGTATTTGCCAATTTAAGGCCATACTCTTAAATTCAATTAATTTTCAGTAGCCTCAGGACACTTACGGAAGCAAACCAAGCAGGCTGAAAACTTCACACACAGCATGTGTTCACCACAAAAAAACAAACTGTATTTACTATTTATATCACCAAAATGTTGGGCATATAAATCAGTGGCACTGAAGCCATTAGTTGTCTGTGTAGAATCTGTAATATGACTCACACAGCATATCAAGGTCAAGGCCTCAAAGTAGAAGTCAGTGACTTTAGAATACATGTGCTAAGAAAAAAAAAAAATCAAAACAGAGCAAATGCCATTTTAAATGGTTTCAAGTTCCAAATAACAGAAAGATACCACAACCAAAACATGAACCTGTGACGCCCAACTGTGTAACAAAGCAGCTTTGCCTTCTTGGGTGAAGGAGAACCAGGCAGAGAAACGGACTCAAACTCATAGCTCCCTACCATCTGATTATAGCTAGGACTCCCACAGGATGCCATCTCAACGAAAACTCTTCCCACCAGCCGTGGGGAAAAAATAGGAAGCTCCTCCGCCTTAGCGTGTGCTCTGGAGTTTGTGGGGAATGTCACCACATTGAATAACCTTGCAGCTCTGGGAGAAGCAAAGACAAACTCATTCTCTAAATCAGCTTCCACACAGGCAAGACACAACTGAGGATTTAGGAAATATATGAGCGTAATCCAGCATATGCT